CCCATCTACAGCTCGATCTGAAGTGCAACAATCTGACACAGCTTCAGAGAGTTTTTCCAAAAAGGATATACGTTCATATCCTATATTCAAGGCATAAACATTAAAAAAACAAAAATTGCAGTCGCCTAAGGCAACATCCACTCGTAGAATCCGACCAGAAATGATCTCAAACACTCAGAGTGTTTCCTCGCAGTTAAAGGAGTATTGCGACGAGTGCTCTCAGATTTATACACAACTATACACTATCCTTTCATTCAGTCATCACTGCAATTGACTTTAAACATTCATATGTGTTTCTTGTAATAAAATTATATCTGCTTTTTTTAACAGTCAATATTCAAACAAAGCAGCATCTCTTTTCAGTGTCTCAACAACCATTACTATTAAAAGAGCCAGCATTAAAGGAAGTCATAAGGATGATAAATAGAGCTTCAAACAGCCACAGCACAAATACAACAAAACTCCTCCTAGTCTCAGTGGTGTGTCACAAATCGAGTCTTCAGTCTCTTTCTTACAGCACGCATGAATTTCATGAGTTCCTCTAAAGTAGCTTTTCTCATGACAATGGCACATGATTCATTGAAAAGCCTTAAATATGGAAAGTATGTTTCACATTTTGTTCTCCTCTGATTTTCTGTACCATCAAGAAAAAGATTCAGCTGTTGAACTGTGCAGTAGGATGCATGTGTTTTAAATGTGGAACTTCCTTGAGAAGTCGCATTAATATTGTCTCCACAGCTATCTGAATATTCCCTATCAGAATCATAAAGACGCTGGACATCATCATTTTCCAGAACATCTAACGTCACTGTGTGTTTTTGCGAGTCTAGGCTAGTGTTTGCGAATCCATCAGATTCTTCACTCCCTCCAGCTCCACTTGCTCTCTGAAGTGCTTTAAATCCCTAGTGCCATAAACAGCACCAGGTTCTGCACCATCCTGGACCTGGACCTGGACCTCTACGCTAGCACTAATATCACATACACTACCATTAATAACACTGCAGATCACATCAGAGTTACCGACACAGCCGGATAACCCGGGTGCACTGAGGCAATCGCAGCTTTCTCACGCTGCTGATCAGTTCTAGTTTCACTGTTTTCACCATTTATCTGAAGCACGATTCACCTGCTCGAGGACAGTGACTGATCCTTCCCATGGTTAACTAGTTCAGCTTGTTTAGTACGACCACAGACAAAACATCTCACTGAATCAGTAGTAGAAAGAGAGTATAACCTTTACCCAATATTGTTTCACTGCAACATTCAAATCTTGATATTCAGCGTCCAATATCATGAAAATCTGTCTTCTAAAAGACATAATGTGTTTCAAATCTGGATTATTTAAATCCAGAGGAATCATCTCCATTGAGCTGACAAGTTTGTCGTAGCGCACAAGAAGCGCTGAAGCGTATCACTGGGTAAAAACAGCAGGACGTTTGAAAGAATAAACTTTTTCGAGGATTTAGACAGCAGCAGCACCGGAATGAAAACGTCTCTCACCTCAATGATGCACCATAGCTAACGCTTTCGAAAAGGTAATTTTAATAAAATAATAACAGCATTATTGTTCCGTGACGCAGATAAAATGTTTCGTGCTCCAGTTTCATTTCCGATTGCTATCAAGCGATCTTCCACTCAACCCGAATCATCTGGTACACATTCACAGCCATGCCGGGCAGTCAGGAGTCTGAGCCCATAACCACCACACACTCGAGCAGATCAGCACTACACACTACTGTAGAGCAAATAGTCATGCTGGAAGGAGAGAAAAAGAGAAAAGAAAGTTTAAATCTCTCATTCATTCATTCACTCACACCATCCCCACATTCACTCTGCACATGCGCCCAAGAGAGAGAGAGAGAGAGAGAGAGAGAGACAGACTGGGAGAGATGGAGAGAGAGAGTGAATGAGAGAAAGAGAAAGAGAGAGACAGAAAGAGAGAGATAGGGAGTAACAAAGAGAGACAGAGAGAGAGAGAAAGCACACATAGAATTGAATTGAATTGAGTAAGAGAAAGAATGAGTGAGAGAGAGAGACAGAGGGACAGAAAGACAGAAAGAGAGAGAGAGTGAGAGAAAGAGACAGACTGGTAGAGAGAGAGAGAGACAGAGAGAGAGAGAGAGAGAGTGGGAGAAAGACAGAGAGGGAGAGAAAGAGACAGACTGGTAGAGAGAGAGAGAGAGAGAGAGAGAGAGAGAGAGAGAGAGAGAGAGAGAGAGAGAGAGAGAGAGAGAGAGAGAGAGAGAGAGAGAGAGAGAGAGAGAGAGAGAGAGAGAGAGAGAGAGAGAGAGAGAGAGAGAGAGAGAGAGAGAGAGAGAGAGAGAGAGAGAGAGAGAGAGAGAGAGAGTGGGAGAAAGACAGAGAGGGAGAGAAAGAGACAGACTGGTAGAGAGAGAGAGAGACGGAGAGAGAGAGTGGGAGAAAGACAGAGAGGGAGAGAAAGGGAGAGAGATGAATAAGTTATGAGATGTGTGATATTTAATGTGTACTTTTACACTGTTTTGATTATTGGTTATATTTGTGTATTAAAATGACAGAAGTCGTTGCCATGGTTACACTTATCTAACATAGCACATCCTGCAGTCAGTATATAGAACTTGATTAATTGTATTTTTCAGAGACAATATCAGAAAGATTTTGTTTTTCATGAGAATGTAATCTTGCCCAGGTCGGTCTCGTCGCTGTGTGCAGCGCTAGGGGAGATTAAGGGGTTAAGATTAAGAGTTTTACTCGCACACAGACAGATTAACAATCCGTTATCCTGTACATCATCACATCTGTACATCACATCTGTACATCACATCTGTACATCATCACATCTGTACATCATACAATGCATCATCACTAGCTCAGAGCTAACTCGTGTTAGCAGTGTGTTAAGCACTGAGATGAGCTTAGCTTACTTAGCGCACCGAGGAACTAATATTCACAAAAGTCTCTTCAGTCTGCATGTGTAACTTCAGATCATTCACATCAGCATCGAGATAAATAAAGCAATGAGATGAGAAGACGAGCCACACGGGGGCCCTGTCACCTCAGCCCGATATCGATACACGCCTGGTTCTGATCCACATCCTCTTCCCCTCTCTCACTCCCCTGAAGTCAATTTTACGCTCTGTAAATTTAATAGGAAAGTCAGTAGCCCTGAAGCGTTACCCCATTGAAGTGGTGTGAAAGCTCGTTAAAGTCCAGCGAGGACAATAAATTCCCTATCGTCCTCACTGACACGCTAACGACAGCGAGGACCTCACACCATTATTCATCACGATAGAGAGAGAACAGTACGCCATCTACGCTAACCACGTTAACCCCTGACGTTTAAGCAACATTCAGTGTGTTAGTGTAACGATTTGGGACGTAGCCTCAGCCGGAGTCTCGTGGTCGTGACTGGGAAAGCTTTGTTGTGGCTGCTAATTGCTTTGCTGGCTACTTAACACAACATGCTACTTCGACCTGCCATTTAGCGCACGAGTGTGCGGTTTTGGGACGTAGCCCGTGATTGTGTGTGATTGGCTGGCGCTCTTTTGATGACATCATCTCATGGCTGGCTGTCAGAATACTCCTCTGAACAGTAGCTGATTTAAACACACACACAGCCATTCACGTTTCACTTCCACCACGTTTTTGGAAGCGTCCCTGCAGCGACATTAGCAGCAGCAGGAGCGAGCGAGCGAGTTTTCCTCCTATCGTAACCGCGCCGTGCCAGTTTGGATTTCCCGTGACCAGACACGGTGCCCCAGCAGTCATTTCCCGAAAGACGTTTACACGAAACGCCAGGAGTGTTTGAGTTTTAGGGGCCGCGTTCGTTTCTGCAAATACCACAGCAGGTGACGGCTGAGTCTTAAATCGAGCCAGAGAAGAAACGCTGCCTAAGAAAACAACATCGAGATCCTCACCCCCACACACACACACACACACACACACACACACACACGCCTTCCACGACTTAAAAAAAAGCAGCAAATCATCCTGAACTCCGGAGCGAGTGGAAACTGAGTCACCTTTTACCATCAGGCTTTAGTGTGGATTTTACTGTCACACCCTTTAACCTTCCTGCTGAAGTGCTCACTACACAGCACCCTTCACATCCCGCTCTTAAAGCGCCTCGTCCTCTCGCTCGCGTTACGATCACGATTCCTCCTCACGCTGTACCAGATCCTGTACAGTAAAGTGTGTAGTGAATTCTGTAACAGTGTGTGTGATAGCACGCGTCTCCGTGTCCGATTATACGATGAAGATCCTCTAACGATAGACCTGTGATTAAAGAACGTCACGTCGTTAATCAGTGTGATCCGGAAATCAGCTGGTGCAGGAAATAAACACACACACACTCTTCACAGTGAGCTCTGAGGAGGTTTTTCTCTCCATTAGTGTGTTTCCTTTACGCTTCTCCATCAACGCTACCGTATCTGTAGCCGCGCCGTGAGTCTGCCGTCGTCCTATTGGTGGATTTTAGATGAGTTTCATCACATCACATCGCTCACACTCTGAGACTTTAATCACTAAACTTCTGAACTTTGATGTCAGCTGGTGAGCATCCGGTTATCCGGTGTGAGACGGTCATGCTGTCAAGCTGGGAGGGGCATTCTCATTCTCTCTCTCTCTCTCTCTCTGTCACTGTCTCTCTCTCTCTATCGCTGTCTTTCTCTCTCTCTCTCTCTCTCTCTGTCTCTCTTTCTCTCTCTCTCTATTTGTATCTCTCTCTCTGTCTCTGTCTTTCTGTCTGTCTCTCTCTCTGTGTTTGTATCTCTCCCTCTCTCTGTCTCTCTCTCTCTGTATTTCTCTCTGTCTCTCTCCCTCTGTCTCTCTCTCTGTCTCTCTCTCTCTTTGTCTCTGTCTCTCTCTCTCTCTCTCTCTCTCTATTTGTGTCTCTCTCTTTGTCTCTCTCTGTCTGTCTGTCCGTCTCTCTCTCTCTCTCTGTCTCTCTGTCTCTCTCTCTCTCTCTTGGTTAATAATCACAGTGACTCTAGCTAATCATGGGCGTCTGTGACTCTTCTATAGGAAGTTCTGGCTCAGAGTTTAAGGCTTTGGGCTCCTGAGCAGAAGGTCATGAGTTCAAATCCCAGCGCTTCCACACAGCCATGCATGTGTCCTTGAGCAAGACTTTAACTCCTCAACTGCTCAGTTTTATCCTGTTTCAAAGCAAATGTCTTTCTGCGTAACATTTTTCTGACAGCTTGGTTGGGTGTTCATCAGGGGAGAGAGCTGAGCGCTCTGCGTTTCATGCTGTACAGGTCATTTTCAGCATTCGTGAACAGAACATGAGGATTATTTACAGCTCGCGTTTGAGGAAGCTTATTTAACATGTCGAAGTTGTAGATTAAGATCTAGCGGCGTCTTTAGCAGACAATATAAACAGTAACACAGTGACAGACTCGGCAGGCGAGGACTCACACTAAACTCATCAGCTGCGGTGGATACACTCATCACGCTGTCAGACGGATAACTCAGCAGCACCTCGTACAGCTAATTTGATGAGATAATATGTGTATATAAGGTTTAGGGGCGTAAGCTGTAGACAAAGCAGCTTCGTTCGGCTCAGATGTCTCGAATGTTTGTGGGTTCCTTCATTCCAGACGTGCCGCATCTGATCCGTGCGGCGGCCCGTTTTTAAAGACGGCTGTGATGTGGCGACAGAACTGAGGTGTTTTCAGCTGGAATTGAGCTTTTGATCGGTTTTAGTTGTCCGTCATCACTTAAACATGTTTACACGAGCCAAACCGCCGCTGAAGAAAAACACAAAGAGACATGAGCGCTTACACACATTCCCCCGTTCCCTGTTTGTCGATCGCATGCTACAAATCATATAGCAAATTTAAAGCGACGCTCTGCACCTGGAAATAATGTTTTCTGTGTGACATCATCATCTGCAGCAGAGCAGGATCACGCTAGGCGCGTAGAAAAGTCTTGGAGGAGAACTTCACCTTCAGAGTTCCTGAGTTCCCACCGCTCTGCAGGAACCGGGACTGACGCTGAGCAGCACGGAGAACACGCAGGACGCCACGCTGAAGCTGTCTCAATCTATACTGCTCACAAATCTGTGAAAAGAAACGTTCTGCTTTTCCACTCATACCACTGAAACACGCTTGCTGGGGTTAGTCTTTCTGTAAAGCTCATGAGCAGCTTCGATATTTATGATTTTATAATTATGCCTTATGGTCAGACTAAAGCACCAGCACACCGATCTCCAGTTTTAGCTCCATGCATTAAAGCTAAACCTGTGTCAGGTTCATGATTAGCTAAAAGGCTTTAAAATATTTTACTCTCTGGATAACGATCCTTGTGTTTGTGTTATGATCTTGTATGTGAACATATTTTATAACAGCCCGCTTCCTTGTGATTTTATTTTATTGCATTTTTTTGTCGAAATGGTTCAGAATGGTTTCATTCGTTCGCTCCAGAGAGAGTTTAAAAGAGTTTAAGTTTAAAGCTTAGCATTCATAACCCATAAAACCTGCTCTGTAGAAGATGATTGAACTAAAGACGGTGTACTTGTGCTGCCTCTCCTCACGTTTTATCCCCGGTTTAAAGAGCGTAAGCAGCTGTGACATCACCGCTGACACCACACACTCCGTCACTCTTACACTCTTACACATCTCATCAGTTAAATAGGAACATGAAGGATAGAGAACTGAAGGTCCGTCTCACACACACAGCACATTCTTTTACCCCAGCATGGGGCACGATGTGGGGGTGGGGAGCGGAGTAAAGGCTGTAGAATCTGCTGTGATGAGCTAACAGGGGTAAAATATTGGCTATGGGGGTAAGATGCGTCTACTTTCTGACTCTCGCAGAGCTGCAAATCGGAAAAGCCGCTCTCTGAAACCGAAGCGTCCGAGCCGCCCGCCCTCCTGCGCTCTGATTGGCTGTTAGAGAGGCCGTGTAATTGAATGGATTCTCCTGCTGTTCTGAAAGACTGTAAAAGCTCAGACGTTGTTTCAGAAGCAGTTCTGACGGAGCACAAACCGGGTTGAGGAGAGGCGTGGCCTGGGAGGAGCGAGTGCTGACCCCTCTATAATGAGAGGGCAGTTCAGTGATTAAAGAGGCGCTAATGTGGGAAATTGGAGGCCATTAACTAAAGGAAAAGCCAGATTAGTCCCCTGAGACTTCCTCCTTTATCTCCCTGCTCTCTCAGCAGGGGAGGAAGATGGAAAGATAAAGAGAAACACACACACACACAGAGAGAGCGAGAGAGAGAGTTTAAAGAGATGTGAGGGTGTTTAAGTGGTACAAAGAGCCGTGCTGAGAGCTGCAAGTGGATGTACACTGTTTCAGACACAGATAACACCGACACACTCCAAAGACCTTCATCATCACTCTTTATTCATCTCATGTATCATCATAAGTTTTCAGCATCATTTATCACCATGACAACACCTCAGTCAAATACATACTGTACTGTGCACAAGTCTTAGGTGTTGTATTTTTTTAGTACAAACTTTGTTATAGATGTTTATTTTCTGACTTCTACATTATTGATTCAGTACAAAAACATTTTAGATTCCAAACATTAGTTTTCCAGCACAAAATGAAATGTTCCAGAAAAATGTTTGTATGTCAGTAAAGAAAGCAGCAGATTCCATAAGAGACACTTTTCAGATAAAAACATAATGAAGGCTG